GCAAAAATCTAATTAATTGGACATGGGATCAAATTATTACAGGATCTCCTAAAATAGGAAAAAAAACATTTGATCATAAATTAATTTATTATAACCATAACTATAAAGGAAAAAGGAAATCTCAAGATTTTACAGTAATAACAACCAAAATCTCTCTAAGTAAATCTGTATATATGTACTCCTGCTGCATGGGATCAGATTATTACACGATCTCGTAAAATAGGAAAGAAAATTTGATCTTAAATTAATTTCTTATAACCATAACTATAAAGGAAAAAGGAAATCTCGATTTTACGGTAATAACAACCAAAATCTCTCCACTCCTATTGAAAAGTCATTTTACTTCATCTCAAATATGACATTTTTATTTATTTTTGGGCCAACAATGATATTGTGGGGTTGAGGAAAGAGAATGTGGTTCGGATGAGAGGTGAGTAGAGAGGTTGGTAAATTTTATTTTTAAGTAATCTTTTATTTATTTATGAATTATTATTATTATTTTGACCTATATATTTTTTTATAATTATTTTTATTTGTTTATTTATTTTTATTTTTGCTATTACAACATCACTATCTCTATGTTGTCTCAGCTTGGTTTTAATGCACACTTTATAGGTGTGTCGGATGATGCACCATCCTCCTTAGTAGCATCATAACACTTGTCTTGTCTTGACCCTCATGTGGTCGGTTGGTCACAGTCTACTTTCTTCATAGTATATTTGTGACACCCAACAACTCCATCCCACATTCTAGCCTAGTCAATCATGCATCCCCAACCCATAGCCCCCTCCAAGCACTAACCCATGATCATGCCCATAGTCCAACTCCACGCACCGACTTGTCCCCCTAACTCGATGCCCATACTCGACTAGTGACTTCAATCAAATGCTACCCACATGTTTGACTCGATTAGGCTTTCGGAATCATTTGAGATTTGTAACATGAGCTTCCTATGATGCATGTAGTTCCTATGACAATCCATGTATGTTATGATATCATGCTCATGTCATGCCCTATGTATAGTAAAAAAATGAATGATATGCCATATACATTTAAAATGTGCGCATCATAACCCAAGGAGTACATCGGTAAACCTAATATTGTGGCTATTCTAGATATTTGATATCTTTCTCTTTGAATGAGATCTCAATTCCAGCGACGGTTTCAATAGATATCTTACAACTAAAATCCCTCTTTTTTCCGATCAGTTCCTCCACCACTGCGAACCCCAGTTAGATTCAGGCATGATACACTTTTTAGTTATTGGGAGAACCCAAGTACTCTCTTTCGGATCCAGGAAACAGCTCTCAGAGATCTTTTTTCCTTTTGGAAGATACAGGAGCGAACCTTGGTCTCCACGGCCACAACGTAGAATTCTCACCACTAAACTACAACCACATAATTAAAATAATAATAATAAAAAAAAAGTAATTTACTCTAAAATTTTTGTAGACTTACGTTTTATTTTTAAACAGAAAAATAAACTCTAGTGACTAATTTTAATGGGCAAGGTTGAGATCATCCCGTGTTAGATTCATATTCCAAATACAGGTGCAAATCTTGGTCATGAAACATTACACTCAGTTTAATTTATTTAAATGTAGCAAAGACATATTTCGAGCTAGTAAAAGAAATATAACAATTGCTAAAACAATCTAAAAATGAACATTAACGTCTTCGTAAACTTCTTATCAATCTCACAAGGTTATGAAAATTTTGCACGGAAAGTGTCGAAAATCTAAGTGAAAGGTATCTCAAATTGATTGGGGAATGACTCAAGTCATGGAGCTGAACTAAATGGACTAAGGATTCATCTTCTATTCGAGAGGACGATTGAATTGATCTTCATTTTGAAAGAGTGTCGATATATTACTAACATATCGATGTTATGCTTGAAATATTATTTAAAATGAGGGTTGATATACTATATACTACTTATACGCTAATGATCTACGGGAAATTATGAATTTTCAATATGTAATGATTACTAAAACATCGATGTTATATTTTAAACTAATTTTGAATGAGTGTTGATACGTTGGAACAACAATGTTATACCTCAAATGAGTTTTGAATTAGTGTTAATTAACTATCAATACACTAATACTACATCGTTTGAAACTTAAGAAGCCTCAAATGTTGGTTTTTAGACTGCATCGATTGGGATAAAGAAGCCTTGGAAGCAAATTTTAGCCTATACCGCTTATAACGTATGAAGCCTTAAGCATAGGTATTAGGATTATGTTGCTTACAACGTATGAAACTTTGGACATAGGTTTTTCAGAATACGTCACTTAGAACCTAAGAAGCCTTGGACACGTGTTTTAGACTACACCTCTTGGAAGGTAAGATCTTGGGTGTCGGTTTCAGACTGTATCACAAGGAACACATGAAATCCTGGATGGAGTTTCAGACTATGTCGATTGGAATGCCTGAAGCCTAGGACATAGGCTATCAGGTACATGTCTTGTACTATAAATCCTAGGAGCAGTACTTTAGGGAACAAAACAAGAAACATACGAAGAACAAGAACCAGGTTATCAGGTCCATGTCATCTGCTAGCATTGTGGTTTGGAACCCACAAGAAGGGCATACCTCAGGAGCACCCCTGGCAAACATTGAGATACACGAAGCCAACCTATATCTCGAAAGAAAAATGTAGGAAAAGCAAATGAAAGATAAAAGCCAAAATTCGCTTTGGGAGTGTGAGATACGGGCCTCCGCATTTCTTTTCATTAATGAAACCTGTCATTGTACTATAAATCCTAGGGGCAGTACTTTAATGAACAGGAGGACAAGGACAACGACAAGTACGAGGAACAACAACAAAAAATAAGAACTAGAACTTGAATCTGAACTAGAACCATGATCGAGATTCAAGTTCTCAGGACATAGACCCTAAACCCTAAAAGAACATGACAAGAAATGACCTAGGTTCAAATGGTGTATAAGTCTAAAGAGCCTTAAAAATGAGAGACATTCTCCATAGCCACAAACGTAGAATTCTCACCACTAAACTACAATCACTCAATATTACTTTTGCATTTTTCTTATTTACTTTAAAAATTTCGTTATGGACGTTAGGAAGCAACAACAATAAATTGATAGTCCAAAAGGGTTTTCAGTCTCGATGACAGAACCAAAGGTCAAGACCATAGGGATTCGAGCCCATGTCTCCACAGCCACAACGTGAAATTCTCACTACTAAACTACAACCACAACGTGAAATTCTCACCGCTAAACTACCATCATTTCATATTACTTAAACCAAGTACCTGTACTTTGTTTAAATGATTTCTATTAAATTACATGAGTTTACCTCATGCTTTTTTTTCTTTTCTTTTTTTTCTTCCTCGAATAAGTACTTAAACACGTATATAATGAGTCCAAATCTATTTAAGATTTTAGAAAATCGAGTCGTTAACAAACAAGAATCTTTCCTCATAGAATATGATTCAGAGACAAACTAAGGCGGAAGATGGTGCACATGTGACACCTGGAGTATACATTAATAAACTATAACCACATCCGAATGTGAGTGATTACGAGAATATAAAATTATAGTTAATAAATGTCTAAAAGAGTTGATTGGTACTACCTATACCAATAAGTTACGCCATTTTTTTTTTTCCGTGACTCAATCATAGAAATTTCAAAAATAATATATTTAGCTTGGAGCATTTATATGTTATGTGACTTCCTAGAAATTTTCTTCGAAACAATGTGAGTGAGAACAAACCTGCTAAAACGACTTAGATTGGCTTGTACGAATGGTCATTAGTCTTAGAAACAGTTCAAATCAATAGAAAACGTTGTCACGTCACAACAATACAGGAAAACGTTGAAGCCATCATGTATCAGTTCTAGATGATAAATCCTAACTCGAATCTCGAACCCAAAACACCATTGCTATAACAATACTATTACCCAACCTCACATGAAAAGGTTAGTATTTTCAAAATAGTGTGGACCCCACTTTGAATAAAAATAAATAAATTTCTTTTTGGAAATGATTACTCAACATCTTGAGGAAAATATAAGAATCATGAAAAACTATATATATATATATATAATAATAGACTATTTTAATAATGTTTTTTTTATTATCATTATTATTTTTTTCTTTTTTATTTTATGTCATCTACTTGTAAAAATGTTATGATAAAAACTAAAATTGAAATTAAAGAATTCCTCAAATTTTAATAAAATAATGGATAATTAAATGTGTAATCAAGTCAATTTTAATGGGTTTTAGTTGAAAAATCAACATTAAATTGTCAATCATGTTGAAAATGAAGTTTTTGCAAACTTTTGATTGAAATTAAATTTGATTATTTAACGTTTAAGAATATTAACGTGGCACTCATAAAAAAAAAGATATTTGAATGAATTACAATGTGAGCGATTTTAAAGATAGAATTTGTACCCTGAATTAGCTCTTAGAAGTAACACAAGAGAATGACGAGGTCATCCAAATTCTGATTCTTAAACATGAGGCGTAACTATTAATAAACAATACGATGAATCTGCCATTATGGATTAAACTAAACCGAAACAATTGAACTCAAAATACCCATAATTTTTATTATACAATTTAATCTCCAATTTATATATTTCAATCATTTTTAAAAAATACTCCATTCAACCTCAAATTTTAATTATTAATTTTTTTTATAATACATAATAATAATAAGAATGAATCGAAACCATATTCTAAAGAGAGCAGTTTTGAGGATATAATGATTAAAAAAAAACGTAAAAGAATTGAATGTTAGTATTTATAGGTGCATTGTTTTCGCCGGTTTTACTTAGAGACCTCGGGTAATTATTCTAGAAAACATGTTTCATGTAAGTGAGACAAAACATGTGGAAAGAACTCGGGTAAGTGGAAATTCCTAATTTAAAAAAAAAAAAAAAGAAAATGAAAAGATGAGTGGCAATTCCTAGAATTGGCATAAGATTTAGGGGCAAATGATAGGAAGCCATATTATAAATTATGTAAGCTTCCTGTCCACCAGAATGAAGGCCAAAATCATGCCCTTGTTCTTCCTCCTCTAGAAATTGATATCATTTGTAGGGTTTTGGTGAGTGTTTGTTCTGTGTTTTTCAATGTCCAAAACCTCAGGGTGCTCCGATGATGGTGGGAGCTTGAGCTTAGAGAATCAACTCAGCCATGGAAGCTCTCAACCCCATCAACAGCCACAGCTTTCAGTTCCCAAGAAGAAAAGGAACTTACCAGGAACACCAGGTCCCTTTCTTTCTTTCTTTCTCTTCAAACTCGTTCGATCCCTCGTGATTTTATTTTTAGTTTTCGGGATAAGTTCTGTTGATCCAAAAATATTTGAGCTAAGTTGAGAGATCTTGTTTGCAGACAAGTTCATAATTGAGTGATGGCTTTTTTTTTTTTTTTTTTTATATTTGAAATTTGAATATTTTAAATAAATATTAAATGAACTTTAAATTAAACCTCTATTTTTATTTGGGTTTTTTTTTTTTTTTTTATATTTGAAATTTGAATATTTTAAATAAATATTAAATGAACTTTAAATTAAACCTCTATTTTTATTTGGGTTTTTTTTTTTTTTTTTATATTTGAAATTTGAATATTTTAAATAAATATTAAATGAACTTTAAATTAAACCTCTATTTTTATTTGGGTTTTTTTTTTTTTTTTTATATTTGAAATTTGAATATTTTAAATAAATATTAAATGAACTTTAAATTAAACCTCTATTTTTATTTGGGTTTTTTTTTTTTTTTTAAATAATTGTTTTAGATAGAGAAATTTAAATATTTGGGTAGTTGGAAGGACATCAATTATTGGAGGGGATTACAATGATTGGTATGTACTGTTTGGTTTTCTTGAATTATTAAAATATCCGAAACAATTGTTTTTTTTTTTTTTTTTTCTTAAATCAATGTAATTAAGAATTACATTCTTAATTTATACAAATCATAAACAAGGAAATTTTTAATATATATTAAGACATAAATAATCATTCTAAATATGAAAATTAAAGAATACAAAAATAATATTNGAATTCATATTAACGACAATAAAAACTTATTTAGACATGGACATTTTAATTAATATTAAAATTTTAATTAAGAAGAGTGTTCGTAGATTGGATTGGTCGGATTAAGACATTTTTTTAGAGTAAATACAATTGTTCGAGTGGTAGGTTTTTTCAATTTAAACAACACTTACCAAACCCAAATTCAACTATATTTTCTTAGTTAAATTGAATCCGGTAATTTATTTAAATATTTTTATTATAATAAAAGAAAATTAAATCAATTTATTTTATTTTAAATATTTAATTAAAATTTTTAACTTAATTTCAATATCTATTTTATTATAATTAATTTTAAAAGTTCCGATACATAATTATATGTTTATTTTGTTAAACAATATCTAATTTTTGGAAAATCTATAAATTCATTATTTAAACTCAACTCAATCTAAATAAATTCATAATTCAATCAAAATTTGGATTAGATTGGGTTGATATGATTTTGGAAGCTATCTTAGATACAGACCCAGATGCGGAAGTGGTAGCGTTATCGCCCGGAACGTTAATGGCAACGAATCGGTTTGTGTGTGAAATATGCAACAAGGGATTTCAAAGAGACCAGAACTTGCAGCTACACAGGCGAGGCCACAACCTGCCATGGAAGCTGAAGCAACGGACGAGCGGGAGCGACACGAGGAGGAGGCGGGTGTACGTATGTCCAGAAACGTCGTGTGTCCACCACAATCCAGCGAGAGCGCTCGGAGACCTCACCGGAATCAAGAAGCACTTCAGCAGAAAACATGGGGAGAAGAATTGGAAGTGCGAGAAATGCTCTAAAAAATATGCAGTTCATTCGGACTTGAAAGCTCATCTCAAAACTTGTGGCTCCAAGGAATACAAATGTGACTGTGGCACTGTCTTTTCCAGGTTAATATCTAAAACTTTGTACTTCAATCACGACCCTCTACAATGTATAATATTGTCTACTTTGAGCATAAGTTCATGGCTTTACTTGGGCTTCCCAAAATTGCTCAGACGAATGGAGATGTATTCCTTACTTATAAACCCTTCACACCATAGAACATCCCCTGAAGCCTATATAACACTGAAATAGTCTCCCGTAATCGAGTTTTGACTCTTTTATCTGGAGCCCTCGAACAAAATACACTTTTTGTTTGACAAGTAAGTCACTTTTGACTACACCTTCGAGCCTCATAACTTTTTTGTTCGACATTTGAGGATTTTATTGACACCATCCACAATGGTATGATATTGTCCACTTTAAGCATACGCTCTCACATCTTTGCTCTGGGCTTCAAAAAATGTCTCGTATGAATGAAGATATATTCCTTACTTATAAACCCACCTCAAAAATCCTCCCCTCGAACAAAATATCATAGAGCATCCCTTGAGGTCTATGTAACCTTCAAATATTCTCCCCTTAATTGAGGCTCTACTCCTTTATCTAGAGCACTCGAACAAAGTACACAATTTGTTCGACACTTGAGTCACTTTTGAGTACATCTTCGAGACTCACAACTTCTTTGTTCGACATTTGAGAATTTTATTGACATGATTAAGTTAAGGGCATGACTCTGGTATCATTTGAATCAAGACTCTCCACAATGATATGATATTGTCCACTTTGAATATAAGCTCTCATGTTTTGTTTTGGGCTTCCCGAAAACCTCAGACCAATAGAGATATATTTCTTACTTATAAATCATGTTCATTCCTAAATTATAGAAAGTTGGACTCCATCCCAACAATTCTTTAACACATTTTTTTTTTTTTAAATAACCTTAAAATTTTGAAAATTATGAATAATCCTTGTTCAATATTTGGCAGGAGAGATAGCTTCATAACCCACAGAGAATATTGCGATGCCTTAACAGAAGAAAGCAACAAACTAGCTGGTCGAGGAGCAACAATGGCTGCCTCGCCGCCCATAACGCTGCCCCACCACGACCTCATGCCTATCCCTCCAAAGCCCTTTAACCTTTCAGCCGGATCCATGTTTTCATCCTCCATTTCCAACGACCACCACTTTCCCTCTTCCTCCTCCGCCGCCCTCATGTCCGCCACTGCCTTGCTGCAGAAGGCGGCGCAGATGGGAGCTGCCGTCAGTTCGCCCATTATCCAACAAAAGGTGTTGCACATTGATTTAATCATTTTGATGGGTTCATTACTGTAGATTTAATCATTGATTTGTGTCCTTAACAGAACGGTTTGGTTACAACAATGGCTCCTTCTTCATTTGGTGGGATGTTGCCCACCACCTGTTTGCAGAAATGCCCACAAGAAAACATTGGCGGAGGTGTGGACATGGGGATGATTGATGACATTCTGATGCTCAATGGGATGTTCGACAAACCGATCGGGGAGGGCGCGAGGAAGACGATGACGTTGGATTTGTTGGGGGCTGAGGGAGGGAAGGGGAGGAAGTTTCAGGCGGAAGAAAGTGTAGGGTTTGGAGGGGTTATGGAGAATGTGGGTTACTTTTGCCACCAAGGGGCCATGGGAAAGCAAGGCCATATGTGACTTAGATAGTTTATGTGGTTCTTGGTAGAAAAATTTAAGAAACAAATTGATCACAATTATGAATATAGATTTATATGCTGATAACAAGAGTAATTGAAATATGGAAGAATACTAAGAATAAGAACATAACCCGAAATTTGAATAAGTTATTAATGATGGGACGAAACCATGAAATAACCCCTCAAATGCGAAACTATAGAAGATCTCCCTTAAGATGGAATTGAGTATATGTTAGTATGATATGAAAGGAATGAACTCTTCATCCACCTAGCCGAAACATTGGGAACCGTTTTGATTTTATTAAGAATTTAAAGAAAAGCAAGAACTCTTCTTGTTCATATTCCACAAGTTCTTTCTTGCTATAACTCGAACACAAGATCAAGGTTCCGTCTTGTCCGAGCCTCTTAAAAGAAAATCTCAAACGGATTAGACAAGAATAGTTTCAAGAATTCTCTTGAGATATAATTTCATTCTCTAGAGAAGTGGGAGATATTGGTCTATCTTTGATTCCACACGAGAGTCCTGTTTATAATAAAAGCTCTGCGAGAATCTTTGCTAAATAATATATTTGTATATTTAATGTATTAGGATATAATATCTTATACAAATTATATTTAAATATTATAAAATATCCTAATATATATTTTTTTACTAATTTGAATCTCATTCCGATTTCAAATATATTTTTATTTTCTGTATCAAAATATATTAATTAAATTAAATATATTTAATATTTAATTGTATCAAATATAATAAATATTTTTTTTAATATATCTAATATATTAAATATTAAATATCTAATATATTGTTGTATCTATATTTAAAATATATTTTTATTTAATGTATGAAAATATATTAATTAATTTAATATTTAATTTATCAAATATAATAAATATATTTTTATTTTAATATATCTAATATATTAAATATTAAATATCTAATATATTTTTCTATCTATTTTTAAAATATTTAATATATTAAAGGTTAATTTCAACCTTCAAATTAAATATATTTTCTCTATTTATTTAATACCTCTAATATATTAAATATTAGTTTGACATTTCAAATTAATATATTTTTTATTTATATTTAATAATATTTTGACATTTCAAATTAATATATTTTCTATTTATATTTAAAATATCTAATATATAAAAGTTAATTTCAACCCTTCAAATTAAATATATTTTATCTATTTATTTAATATATCTAATATATTAAACCTTAATTTTGACATTTCAAATTAAATTTATTTTCTCTTTTATATTTAATATATCTAATATATTAAATATTAATTTGAACCCTTCAAATTTTGTTTCAAACAAATTGAACTTTTTGATATTACTATGAGCTAGCGAGGAGACTTTATAGACCAGTCTCCAATGATACAAAATTAATTAATTAGACTCTTTAATTAATCAATTTTCATTTATTAACTACAGGTCACTTCACTATAGACCTAGAGTTGCACTTTTATGTGTTGCACTTTTATGTACTGCACTTTTATGTACTGCAGGACAAAGTTATGTCCATTGATATAACCATTATAAGCAAGTTGATCTTTCACAAGTTGTTCATAATTGCAGCTAGGTCAAAAGTCCGTTTTATCCCTGTAATTACATCTTTCACATTAAGTACCACCAATTCTCTAATCAACAATTTGTTTATGATCCAATCATAAACCAAGTCCCTCTCCAGCCAATGAGAGGATGGGTCCCATTGTTCAAGTCCGAAATCAGTACTTAAGAGAACAACTCATCTACTTTCCTTGCATGGAAAGGAGTGAATTTCATCTCATGATTATGTTTTCAACTTCCTATTTGGTCAAGTCCCCAAAATTGTAGGCATATTGAATTGGCGGAGTCATTCTCACCCACGTAAATTAAAGGACAAGCCCTCACAGGCATGAGTTTATAATTCACTCACGATTATGATCGAATCGCATATGATCATCATGTGAAATATTAATCTTCTCAATTAACGGATTTATAAAGAGAGATTAAATATTTCTTGTTCCAGTCTTATACAGACCCATTGTATAGGATACCCCCACTTACATGTCTCCACATGAACGATTTGGATCAAATCATTTGTAACGATTACAAAGTGGGTCGTATCAATAGTGTTACCAGGATAAGACACCCAACCTTATCTATATTATAGACTCTTTAGGTTATTACTTGAACACGATTCTCCTGCATGTCAACCACATATTGTTCAAGATTACATTAATAACCTTGGATTTTCATACCATGGATAATAATTAAATTAAAAATAAAATAATAAAATTTATTGTTAGAAACTAAATAATTAATTGGGAGGCTTTAGAGCATAAATCTCAATATGATAGCATCTACTATAGGAATATCAATGAATCCGATTATTGAAATTTCTCAAGATACCTTTTTAGGTTATATTCAAGAATCTATTTCTTAATTCAAGATCCCTGTTACTAACTAGAATTAAAGAATTAGTAGATCTGTTATGCCCAAATGGGATAGGCTAGGGTTATGAACTTATAATCTATAATTTGATGATCGAGTCGATTCTTTTTTTCGGTGATTCAATTATAAAATCTTCTAAGCTGAACGTACTTGACTTGGAGTAATCCTATATTATACTAAGTTTTGAAAACTTTCCTAAAAAACATGTAATTGAAAGGACACTGATTGGTATTTAAGGATAGTCTTCACTCTTAAAAGTACTTTAAAATAAATAGGTAATATGGTTGTGTTGGGATAGATATATGAGAATATAAGGGCTATGAGGTACTAAATTCATATTCCAAATTCGGATCTAAATCTTAGGCATGGAAGAGTAGAATCTCTCCAAATAGAACGTGGTTTAAGGATGAACCAAGATAGAAAATTAATGGACATATGACACCTGAGTAATAAAGAGATATATGAATTGACTGAGATGAAAAGGTGGTGTCTAGGACATCGACATGATAAACATCCAACTTCTTGAGTTGATTCTTTCCCTGCTTATATGTTGTCACCTACGAACTTCTAGCCATAGGACTGGATGAAGATGTGCCCTCTTGCCCACCCTAGAATAAATTAGCGCATAGGACACTTTGACAACCATGATTATTTTTGCATGACCATGCTGGACAAATGTGAGCATTGTGATAAGCATAAAGGTTAGACATAGTACTCAAAGTTTGATATCCTTCCAAACCAATACGACTAGGCCAAAACGTGTTGGATGTGACTCACGATCAAAATGTGTTGAGAAGCAAAGGAACAACTCGAGGGGAGAGATCTTTTTGGATCAAAGAAATGTTAAGCATTTAGCTTTTCAATTCTCTTTGTTGTTGTGGTAGTGAAATGAGCATAATCTCATTAGTATTCAATACCGAGGTAGTACGCGAGTAACCGATATTAGTAATTTCAAATTCTTTCATCATTTGCTGCTTGAACTCTTTGACGCCTTCCACACTTGTACCAGTGAAGATCAGGTCATCAATGTACATGCTAATTATGGGTGTTTCAACCCCATTGGTTCTTGTATACACTGCTTGTTCTTGCGAGCACTTCATGAAGTTTAAACTCTTTAAGTTCTTGTCCAGACGTATGTTCCACGCCTTCAATGCTTGCCGTAAACCATATAGTGCCTTTGACAACTTGTACACTTTGTGCTCTTCGGCTTTGATGACGAACCCTTCAGGTTGGGCAACATACACTTCTTCTTGGAGGTCACTATTTAGGAATGCTGATTTGACGTCCAAGTGATGGACCTCCCACCCGTGTTGAACTGTGAGAGCAAGAATCAACCTTATAGTGTCCAGTTTAGCCACAGGTGCGAAAACCTCCTCGAAATCAATTCCTTGTCATTGAACGTATCATTTTACTACGAGTTTTGCTTTATGCTTGATGACATTTCATTCACTATTCTTCTTCAACTTAAACAACCACTTCAAATTGATGGACTTGTGTCGGGACGGTAAGTTAGTTAGTGCCCACATATTGTTCTTCTCAATGGCTTCAAGCTCTTTTTGCATGGCCTCCTGCCACATCGTCTAAGTTGCTACCTCACGGTAGGTTGTCGACTCCTCGACCGCGAGCAACACTAACTCATTGGGATCCAATTCTTTTTCAAGTATATTCGCATAAATTTCAGCAAGAGAATGAAACTTCTTGGATCCATCCTCTGTTGTGGATTCTCCTGTGTTCTTGTCTGAGCTCTCTTGTTCTAGAGAGTCCATCATGCCTTTCGGTGTCACCAGTGATGACATGTGTAGACTTGTTGGTGTTGCTGTAAGGGTACTTTCTAAGTCTGTTGCGTCATTCTTCTTCGAGAATTCTCTTGTTCTAGAGAGTCCATCATGCCTTTCGGTGTCACCAGTGATGACATGTGTAGACTTGTTGGTGTTGCTGTAGGGGTACTTTCTAAATCTGTTGCTTCATTCTTCTTCGAGAATAGTAAACTATGTAATAGTCGGTTTCTTATCTTTAAAGAGGTTTCATTATTTGAAGCATTTATGATAAAGTCCTTAACTACTCTAGGGTTTGGCCCTTAACGACTCTAGGGTTCATCCACAAGATTTAAACCGCCAAACCACTCTAAGATTCAACCCCAAGATTTAAACACATAAGACCTATCTATTCTATTCAGAGTGACTCAAATATCTATAAATCTAATTTAACAAAACTAAATTTAATTATTTAACACAACATCATAATAAATAATAAAAAAAACCTGTGGTTAAAAATTTAGGGTTTTCAATTATAATATTCAAATTAAATTTGCGACCAACCTCCATTTGTAATTAGCTCAAATAAAATTATTTATGATTTTGTCAATTACTTGAAAATTGAAGCTTGGAAGTCAAAAAAAGACTCCAAATAATAGCAGCCTCAATGAAGAAAGAAGAACAAAGAACAATTATTGGATGATGAGACCATTAATAATAACGAAGACTTTTCTAAATTAGGAGTCAACGCGTAAAGGTCATTGTTTTAACTTCGTTGAAAAAAGAAAAATTCCACGATTTCCATGGTGCCAAGAAAATTCCTCTCCTCCTTCCCTTTTCAACAATGCCGATCAATTCCTTCTATTTTGAGCTCTCAATTCCACTCCTCGTCTTCAAACCAAAACCTTAAAATCCTCAAAATATCCCAACCAAAATTTCCCCACAATCTGAAAATGGAGGTCCGGCAACTGGAAATCAGAATCATCAAAGCCAATGATCTCAAAGACGTCAATCTCATGACTAAAATGGACGTTTTCGCCCTCCTTTCCATCTCCGGTGACCAATTAAACAACCCGCACCAGAAGACCGATGTCGACAAAGACGGCGGCACCAGCCCCAAGTGGAATTTTCATACGCAATTCACCGTGGATGACGCCGCCGTTCAGGAGAATCGCGTCACTCTTAAGATCAAGCTTATTTCTAATCGGAGTTTGGGGAATAAAGAAATTGGGGTTGTTTATGTTCAGATTAAGGAGATGTTTGATGGTGGCGGCGCCGGGGAAGAGGAGAAATCCGGTAGTTATAGTGTCCGGTTGTCGAATGGGACTGTGAAGGGCAATTTGGACTTGGCTTATAAATTTGGAGAAAAATATAAAATTGAACGGCCGCCGTCACCGCCGCCGCCGCCAATGGAGGAGCCACGCAACAAGAACGGGGTGGAGGCGCCGCAGGTTATGGCTTATCCGTCTACATTTCCTGACCTTAGCTCTACATATTCACCACCAGCGGAAGCGTACCGCCCACCACACGGTGGATACCCCAACCCTCTGCCGCCGGGGGCGTATCCACCACCGCACGCGGGATATAGATATGGTGGTTACCAGCCACCGCCAACGGGGTATGGGTACCCGCCAATGCAACGGCTTTAAAATCCGAAGGATGGCGGCAGTGGGATGTTGATCGGAAAGCTGAGAAACGGCGATGTCGGCGGTAGGGAGCTGACTTTGTGGATGCTGGATTTTTTAATTAAGTTGACCCAAGCAATAGAAAATTATACTAAATTAATGTAGGTTTGAGTTCAAGTTACATATGTTTGTCACATAAAATATCGATCTTCAAATAAATATTTGATATTTAATAGTTTAATCTTGTACAAACTCCCACTCATATGTGTCTGCCTAAACGATTTCATATCAAATACATATAATATAAATCTAACCTTAACAATTACAAAAGGTTTCATATGTTAGATAAAACATGAGTTTTTCAGTTTTTCGTTGTTTATATTCACACGATTTCAGAATACTTACCGTTTGACCATTTGACAAAACAAGTAGATTCTACCGGATAATTTATATTTAAATATGAAATCTGTTGAGATTTATTTGCCACTCTCCAGCTGATAGTTTATATTTAAATAGAAAATCTATTAAGAATATTGTATAACCTGATTTTGATTTTGAGAGAGTCAAAATTTCAGCCATTCTCTCTCTTCTATTTTACGTATTTTATTTTTCTTCCAACAACCTCCGGTCGACCCAAGTTGAAGCCATCAGTGTATATCATTGTGGAGGAGCCAACCTATCAACAAACAAGTTGGATAGCTCAAGTGGTTAAAGCGTCGACCTAACAACACACAGGTTTTAGGTTTGAGTAGAAGAAAATGCAAAGTGTGAAAATACACACATTGTGAGGCCCATCTCGGGCACGGACGTCGAGCCAAGGGTTATGGCATGCTGTTGAGCCAAAAGAAGGTTATCGTTGAGCGAGTGATTAGGGAGACAACGACTGCTGTCGTTCAGTATCCGATATTGACAAAGTCCAACTATAATGAATGGACCTTGTTGATGCGCCTTAATCTACAGGCCCAAGGGTTATGGCATGCCGTCGAGCCAGAGGAAGGAGAAACGATTGAGTATCGGGAGGAATCGGCTGGCGTTCGCCGCCATATTACTACGATCTGTGCCCCCAGAGATGCTGGCATCTCTCTCCACCAAGCACACTACGCAATCGGCCTGGGAGTGAATCAAATCCCGTCGGGTTGGTGTACAGCGAGACAAAAATCGTGAGCAGCCCTCCAGCCACAAAGGCGGTAAGAAGCCGTGGAAATCTCGCTCGGCGCATGCACGGGAAAGAGGCGGATCAAAAGAAGGAGGAGTCGACTGATGACGTGCCAATCCAGTGCTCGTACTGTGGGAAGAGAGGTCACCTGAGCAAGAATTGCTGGAGCAAGCTCATGAACAAGGAGACGACCGAGAAGGCCCATGTGGCTCAATCCGAGGAGGATGTCCGATGGGTCCTCGACACGGGGGCAACAAACCATATGACCGAGGCACGACACAAGCTGACCGGCGGCTACTTCATCCCGAGACTCAAGGCTAATATTGTGAGTCTGGGTCAACTCGATAAGGCGATGATCGACGACGGTTGCTCACGCAAGTTCGAGGCACGACGAACCGGCGGCTCACCTGGAGTGGCGGCACGCCAAATCGGAGTTCAATCAAAATATTTATATATATATATATATATATATATATATATATATATGTGTAAAAAATTGAATACTACGTCAGTATTGGTTGGTAGTGGCTGCCCGCCAAGAATGTTTAAAAAAAAAACTTCTCTCAATCAATGAATCAACTTCCGATCTTGAAGCTTTTACACACATTGTCCAACATTCCCAAAAAATCTCTCACAATCACAAAAATCCTCAGCGGATTCGTCTCTTCTTTGCTCACATTTCCATGGAAGTACTCTGTGATCTCTCTCACGCTCCCCATCACCCCTTCCTCGTCCTTCCTCACCAACTCCATCGTCTTCTTCACGTAGCTCAAGAACCCTTTCATCGCGCTCACGAAGTTCCCACTCCCTTCATCTCCACACAGTTCCTTCAACACCAGTTCTTGCAATTTCGCCATTCCCTCGTTCAGATTCGCTGTGGCGCTCGCCAGAACTTTCAGATCGGTCGTCGCCGCTCGCTTAACGTTGTGTAATTCGGTGCTCAAGCCTGAGACCAGATCTAATCCCATTCTTCGGTAATCGTTTTCTCTTTCTTCGATTGTTCTCGATTTGTTCTTTTGGCTGATTTTCCCCATTATGCTACCGGAGACTCGGATTCCTTCTGATCGGATTATTTCTTGGACCACGAAATGGAGGAGGGAGGTTTTTCCGTCGGTTCCTTTGACGTCGGAGAGTCTTAGGAGTGCGTCTAGTTTGAATGCTTTTGCGCCTCCTCTGCTTGTTCCCACGTTCATTCGGTTCCCTGTTTTGAGCACGGCTTCAAGTAGTTTCAGGAAAAGCCTGCTGGATCTTAGTTCCTTGCAAGCCTCCTGATGGAACAGAAATTGATGTGAATTAGAAAAAGTGAGTTAAATTTTCAATGATTAATGACATTTTAGCATCTCTGGATGTTATTCTTGTTGTTCTAGAACAGAAATTGATGTGAATTAGAAATTTCAATGATCTTAGTTCCTTGCAGGCCTCCTGATAGACCAGAAATTGATGTGAATTAGAAAGAGTGAGTTAAAATTTCAATGATTATGACATTTTAGCATCTCTGATACTGTTCTTGTTGTTATAGAACAGAAGGGGAAGAAGAATAAGAAAAAGTGAGGTTCGATTTTGCAATGTTTAAGGCCATTTTAGCATCTATTGATATTGCTTTCGTTGTTTTAGAACAAATTCTAGCATATCCGTGTTGTTACCTCTAGCATTGAAAACGAATTCCGGAGATGATTTACTTCATCTTCAAAAGTTTCTCTGTAGAGCATGGCTTCCACTCGTTGGAAGGCGAATGGTATTCTCAGAATTGCTATCACAAACTTCTCTGTGCACCCATATTCACCGATGTCTCCTTCATAGCTTAACAATTTGGCCTGTTCTTCCTGTGTTGGTACCATCTTTACCAGTGCTTCAAGTTGTCTTAAACGCAACCCCGTCCCTGATTTTCACGTCTACCAAAATTAGAGTACGGCAATAGAAAGTAACAATTTACTGTGCAAATAGGAGCTCAATATGTGAATCATTAATAAACTATGGATCTCTGGGTCTTTTTGGTTCATATCCTGTTGTTCTTTTCGGTCATACCTTGTTCTATGGCTTCACAAGCTTGTTCTGCGGAGAGATTCAGGGCTTTTAAGAGTATGGTTAGGTTCTGAAGTCTCTTAGCCTCTAGTACATGCTTGCTTGGAGAAGGGGTTTTGTTGCTAGCATCACCATTCTTCATTGAACCATATTGGTTGTAGCCGAATAGTGACTCAATCATTTCTTCATCTAGCCTGTTTTTTCATGAGTTCATCAGGTTCAATCAGAAGAAAAACTTGAAGTAAGATGAATAACCAAGAACAAGGACAAGAACTTACTCAAATGAACTCCATCTTAGCTTGTCCCACACCATTGATCGATCTGGTGCAGCTCTTACTTTGTCCCAGTGGAGAGGCTTAAGTTTCGGCAGCAGATTTCCCTCTTTTCCAAATGCCACGAATTGAGGGAGCTTGGAAGGAGGAGGAGGTGGGGCTTTGAAAGAACAAGCGTTTTCTTTCAAACTTGGCGGTGGACAAGGGGGTGGAGGAATAGTAGATGATGGTAGTGAAGGTTTAGCAATGTTTGGAGGTGATGGCAGATCATTCCACGGTATTTGAGATAACGTAGAAGAATCTGACATTGCAGGAGATGATGATCTTAGCAATGCAGAAGAAGAGGTGGATCCAGTTGAAAAGGGTGAAGAGAGGGAAAATGAACTGCGATAAGTAACCGGAGATGGTCGCAGCGGCGGCGGCGGCGGCGGTGGTGGAGGCGGAGCTAGAGATGGGACATCCTTGGTTTCTGAATTACATGGAGAACTGGTCAGATGCAACTGGTCAGAAGTTAATGGTTTGTTAGGTTCTGAAGAATTAGAATTTGTTTTCACATTAGCTGAAGAAGATTCAGAAGCATTTGAAAGACGAACATTCGACAAATTGGGATCCCCACAAGAATGGAACGATTCCTCCTCATCAGACGAACAAGATTTAACAGGAGTAACTCTCTCCCCAGATGAGGAAACACTGTGTTCTTCAACATCCATTCCATGCGTACTGAGATCGAACAGATCAAACCCAGATTTTTGTTTGGCTGTCTTCTCTCCTGTTTCACTCGTTATAGAAAGCTTCTCTGCGGGTTCCTCTGTTCGAATTTTAAACTTCTTGCAGACCCAGAAGGCAACAATAGTGCATATCAAAATGGTGATTCCTGTAGACACAAGAACTGCAACAAGAATTTTTCTGACTCTTTTTCTTGCATCTTCATGTCTTTTAGATTTGTAGACTGGTCGGCTATTGTGCAAGCGAAGCTGATGAGGGCGGGAATGTTTATGAGTGTGCACTGGACGAGCTGCCTCGTCCGGTGATGGAGACGGCGAAGGCGACAGATCTGATGGGCTTTGATTGAGTCCAAGTAGAGCTCTGAATCTCTCCAGAATTAAAGGTCTATTTCCTCCACTCTCATCTTCCCCTGAAACTCTCTCAAGCTCTTCTACATTGAAGCTCTCTGCTGCATTCAACAGTGAATTAGCAATCACAATCATGAAAACGCACTTCACAACACAACCCATTGTTCATCAATCAAGATTCATCAAACCCAAGTAAGAATCTCTTCCCACAACAACTCTATTATTTTCACATCCTTGAACCTAATGTTGGGTAGTGCAGGAAGTCTGGATTACAGAGAGGAAGAACAAGAAGAAGAAAGTCTTCAATGCTACTCCAAGGCACCTCTATGACGCTGGCAGTTGTTTGTTTTTGGGTACGTAAACTGACCTTACTTTTCTTTTGATTCACTCTTTATTATTTTCAGTGATTATCTCATAAACCCCTCTGAAGGAGCACCATTCAATGCACCCACCGTTTCTGCATTTGTGTTGTCTTGTTTTGTTTCTTCTGGATTGTGTTAGAGAAAAGTTAAACATGCTTTTTTGCTGCTTGTTGATCCGTGATTCTAACCTTTATGAAGCTAATGATCCATCAGATTCGGTTTAGGGCTTAAAAAACTTAAAGTCTGATGTTTAAAAAACGAAAATGAGGATTTTGGCAGAAGAAACAGAGTGGGGTTTAGCAGAAGATATAAAAAAGTTCACAGAATGAAGAGAGTGCAGAGAAAAAGTATGTTGGTGGGACCCTTGTTTCTAATGGAGTTGCCTAACAGAGGGAGGAAGACGGGACTCATAAGTTTTCACCAACTTCATTATTAAGAGAGAGAGAGAGAGAGGTTAGGGTGGGGACAAAGGTTGAAGATGCAAATACTTCCCATAGGCTAGGAATGAAGAATATGGGTATAGGTAATATTTTAAAACAATATCATGATAACTCAAACAAGCATACATAGATTTAGATCTAAAAACAAATTAAATCTCATTTCTTTTCCCAAAATTTGAATTTAAGAAAAGTTAAGAGATGAACATAGAATAATTGTAAGAGTTTAGTAAAGAATACATAGAATAAATCTGGAAAGTTGAAAGACAAGAATAATATTATAGAGATGGGAAGGGATTAGATATATTAACATGAAATAAATGGCCCATCTCTTTCTCATGTGAGGTTTGTTTGTGCTTATGAAAGCAAAGTGTGAAGATGGGAAAGTGAAAAGGAAAAGGAAAAGGAAAAGGAGAAGTTTGATGAGGGAATAATAGGAAGCAAAGAGGGTTGATGAACCCCATTCTCTCTCTCTCCCATTCAGCTTCCCAATTTTCCAATTTTGAGGAGAGAGAAAGTGAAAACCCACAGCCAAAACAGAACAAATATGGGAATAAAAAATTACACCCGTTGATTCATACTTGATCCATTATATCAAATAAATAAGTATCAACAACAGGATCCTCCACGATGGAATGATCTTTAAAGTCAAATTTTAAGACTTTGGTTTTTGTTTCTCAAAAAAAAAAAAAAAAAAATTGGAATAAGTGTTAAATGTTATTATGATTTTAATATTTTCACTTTCATCATGCTCGAGTGCCAGTTTTAATAGTTGACTCAATTAAATGCAAGTTATTGCATTAAATTACAATTTCTAACGCTTTTTTAATAATGTTGTCAGCTACTTGATTAGCAATCAGCCTACTTCTTTGATATATATGGATGGTTGAGTGCCATGCATTCAATCCGTTAATGCTTTCTGATAGTCCAAACTATTTATTTAGGTGTATATTAGTTGGGATGGAGGAACTTCTTGGGAGCTGATATTTTTGGTGGATGAGAAAACTAAATTGAATTGACAATTTAATTCAATCCATCTATTTTTTCTAGAGTTGAGTGGGATCGGATTGTTAATTTTTTTTCTTTATTATTTTTTTTCTTTTAAGTTTTCTAATCGATTATTCTATTAATCCATGGTTGAAACATAAATGAGAATCGAGACAAACGAGTATCATAATGCAATCAAGGAGAATGGTGCATAACCCAATACACTAAGAAAAATGGGTTGAAGCATAAGAAAAATTGAAAGTAATAAGTAGACAAGAGTGGTAGAGATGGACTTGAAAATGGTTGGATAAGACCTGGGCTATAACCTCAAAAGTCAAGGTTCTAGTATGAGTTTCGGCATACAACTCTAGAGCTAAGCCTATGTATATGAAAGATGAAACCTCGCCAAATTTGGTGTTAATAAGATACCCAAAAAAAAAAAAAAACGGCACGATGTCGGCCAATCTCCAAAATCACATTTACTTCTACAGGACCAAAAATGTCTCAAAATGTACTATAGGGGGTATGATATCAGCTCTCCACCACCTCTAGGCCCTATGGTTTAAGTGAACTACCCCATGACACATATGTGTATCATAGTGTGGGTGAGTGTTATAAGAGGAACATTTTGGGCATTTTCCTTTGAAAATGGGTTTTTCGAGGACAACATCGGATGACATTGGTGTGTCGATATTGTTAGGGATCACGATTCTCCACAATGGTATGATATTGTCCACTTTGAACATAAGCTCTTGTGACTTTGCTTTTGGTTTCTCTAAAAGGTCTCATGTCAATGGAGATGTATTCCTTATTATAAACACATGATCAACTTCTTAATTAACTGATGTAAAACTCCTCTCCCAACCCATGAGTTAGATGTTGGTATATGAGACCGCTCTCCAATACGGAATCTGTAAATTACTGAACATGAGAGAGTTCATGCCTTGGTAATACCTGGATGGATGTTCAAGGTGCCTTGATCATAAAGACGATCCATGAGTTGATTCTTGATAAGTGTGTCAAAGTGAGTAGCAAAGGTTGATGACGTTCCAAAATTTGGGATGACATCATGAAGCGTTGACTTGAAACGTATGATGACAAGATGAGATGTGACATTGTATTTAAATGACCTTTGGCTAAAGTAGGTGTAAAGTTGAGTCGAATGACTTGGCCTATAGAGGCAAGTCAACTAGAGTTGTAGTGAGCGAACGTGCATGCATAGGTGATGTATATGACTTAACAAGCTTAGTTTCTACATGAGGTGTTTAGACGACAAAGGAGAACCTTACTTGTACAAGAAAATTGTTGAGAATTGTTGGGAGAGGAGTCCCACATCAACTAATTAAAGGGTTAATTATTGGTTTATAAGTAAAGAGAATACATCTAGACTGGTACGAGGCTTTTTAGAAGAACCAAAAGTTAAGTCACGAGCTTATGTTTAAAGTGGATAGTATCATATCATTGTAGAGGTCTGTGAATTCTAACAAAAACTAGAAAGCTAGGTAAGAAATAAAAATGAGGTTTGAGTTCCCTTTTGGGCTTGTCATGTGCATGTCAAGATCATGACACTGCTCGATACAAAGCTAATTGTGTCATGTCCCAACCCCACCCCCAACAGTTTGACAACTCCATGCATATCCAAAAAGATTTTGAAATATAAAATGAAAATGTGCTGAAGTTTGCTTGAATTATACAAGAACCCTATCTAATGAGGACCATTCTTACATTAGGTATCCAAAAAGTAATAATGGTATCAACTAGTTTGAACCAATGTTATTATTGAAAACAAAGAAAAGTAAGCTATTTATTTCATACCCATTAAACCAAGAGAGGAATATTAAATGCTCACATTTATTTATTTTATGAGCCCAGAAAGAGTATCCTATGTTGAGCTACAACAACAACAAAAATTAAAAATTAAAAATTAAAGATTAAACGATTCTAATTTTATTTATTTTATATTTCCCATATAGAAAAAATGTTTAGGGGGGAGAGAAAGTCAAAATTCAAAGAACTCTCATCCCCATGTGAGTACTTTAATTGAAACAGCAGAAGGAATTTTTGTTATATTGTAGCATTTATCATTTTTTTTTTTATTTTCTTTAAATATATATATATATTAATCATAATGTACAAAATGTTGTAAAATTATGATTCAATATGTTTGGGAAATAAAACCCCCAATGGGTAGAAAATTAGAAAGCCTAATTCTCTGTTCATCTTGTTTCCTCCTACATAATTATGTTTTGTGTGCTTTATTCACATGTCAAATACCAACATTATCTCTACATTATCTCGAGATTTCCGGCGAGCTGCCGATTCCACAATCACTACAAAACCTTGCCACTTCTCATCTCAAATCATCCAAAAGCTTCACTCTTTGATCTGCAACTATTCCAATAACGAGTAAAAATTCTCCTTTCTATGAGCATACTAGTGACGATAACACGATGAGGGCTTATAGCAGTGTTGTGCAAGCGAAGGGTAAGCGAGTGGTGGCTGGAATCGAGCGTGAAACTATGAGATCCCACGTCGGTTAGAGAAGAGAACAAAATATACCCTATAAGAGTGTGGAAACTTCCAAGGACGCCGGCTCTAAGGGGTGGATTGTGAGATTCTAAATCGATTGGAGAGAGAAACGAAGCATACCACATAAGGGTGTTTTAAAAGTGTGAGACTGACTGTGATACACAACAAGTCAAAACAGATAATATTTGTTAGCGGTAAAATTTGGGTTTATAATCAAAGAATACTCCTTACATTAGCATGAGGTGTTTTAGGAAAGCCCAAAGTAAAGTCATGAGAGCTTATGCTCAAAGTGGACAATATCGTACCATTATGGAGAGTCGTGTTCATCTAACACAACTAACCTACTTAAATTTATGTGTATTTATTACTAATGTATGTAACATAGGGATGTTCAAATATTAGGTCCTTTTAGGTTATTTGGATAAGGGGATAAGATGAGAATAAGGCTTGAAACTGTCTATGTATATTTTTTTTTGTTGTACATAAATTTATTGTAACAAAAGTGTTATTTTTGTCCTTGTTCGTTTAACGGTAAAACGATGTCAATAAAAAAAAAAAAAAAAAACTAATTTGCTTTAGTAGTAGGATCATAAATCGAGCTTTCGATTAGTTGGCATTACAAATTGATGAAAACATGATTAAAATGCATAATAAATTGTCTATAGCGTTGTTTCATAGCCGTCTAAGCCGATACCATCACCTATGTCAGACAATTTGCTTTTACTTGAAAAATAGTCCATAATAATTAGATGAAAATTTAAAAATATATCTAAGTGACTCCATGTTGAGTTCGACAAATTCTAATATGATAGTGTCAAAATTTGTTAAAGGGAGGGGAGGTCTGTGCCCTAATCATAATTTATATAGAAGGAAAGGATGAAAG